TCCACAGCAAAGCTCCTCAAGCTCCATCGTGCACTCCATGACGCCGAAGCGGGGGCAGCAGACTTATGTCGCGAGGAAAGTGAGAGTGACGCATCCTCTGATGTCGACACTTCGTCGTCAAGCGTGTGTGATAGCATGAGTGGAAGCGACAGCGATGATTAGCATCAACTACCTCGTGTAGTCAAATACTTGTATAATGTAATATACTGGGGTATTTCACAGATGGAACTTTATTCATGTTGGCATTGTATTTTTGCCCCTGTAAAATAATTATTGATTTTCAAGAATTATCAGAGCCCCCTCGATGCTCTCGCAGACTGTAAGATACCAAATCGCTCGAAATGATGCTTTCTATTCATGAACTTTAAGCTCCTAGCACTTAGTAGTCATTCCTTTGTTAGCAACGACACCGAGGCATCTCGCCTTCATGCTGAGGACGAGCTTTTTTAGGTAGGAAACTTCCAAATCATTCCAGTGGTGAATGATCGCCATCTTGAGCTCCTCTTTCGAGCTGTACTGCTTGCCGCCAACGTAAACGCGTTGAACAAGATATCCCCAGACATTTTCAATGGGATTCAGGTCTGGGGATAGTGCTGGCCAGTCCATAACATCGATGCTTTGACCTTCGAAAAACTGTTTCGTAACGTTAGCCATATGAATGATTGCGTTATCTTGCTGAAACACAAATTCAGTGCCAAAACGGAGGTGGGCAGCAGGCAGCATGTACTCACTGAGCGTGTATATGTAGTCGCCCGCATTTTGTGGGCCTTCGAGGAGCGCAAGTTCAGTTGTCCCATCGGCCCAAATTCCCCCCACACCATGACGGACCCACCACCGTTTTGACGCCTAAATGCCGTCTTGACGTCGCGCCCAACGCAATGCCAGTAGGACTTTAGGCCATCGGGTCCATCTAAGTTCCATTTTTTCTCGTCAGAGAACACAATGGTACCCCACTTGGTATCACTAAAATCGACCATTTTCGTCGCCCATTCAACGCAGTTTTGCTTGTGTTGCTCGGTGAGGTTGGGTGCCTTGCTCATCTTGATGAACTCAACCTTGTTCGCCAAGCGTAAGTACCGTGAAATAGTTGTCTTGTGGACGCCAATGTCGAGCTGGTCGTTGAGTTTGGCGCAACTCAGCGTCTCGTTAATGCTGGTGCGGTGAAGGCGGCGTTCTCGTTTTCTCCTTAACTTATTGGGATGGCCCTTTTTATAACGCTGGCCGTAAGAGGTGGAGTCTTTGAGAAATTTGGCGATGGTTACGTGGTTGCGGTGTAGTCTACGACCGATTTCGCGAGCACTGAGGCTCTCGGCAGCCTACGCTAAAGCCTGGCCTTGTTCGACAGGGCTCAGCTGAGTCCCAAGGCCCATTCAATGACGCAGGAGTGAGATTTCAAAGTGTATTGGGTTCCTTTACAACCACTGAGTGGACTCCGTGCGAATCGTGGTCGTCCACGTGGCACAAAGGTGCATATGACGTGCATGTCACAATGTGGTTATAACCTTTTGCATCGGTGCCAAACTGTTACTCAGTTTTTCCAGTTTGGACATGCTTTAAAGGAACAAATGTGTATTTTATGAATACAAATTCAGACATACTTTCGGGTTAATTTAATTCGCAGTCGTCAAAAAAATAATTAGGAAAAACCGGGTGGTTATAACCTTTTGCATCACACTGTACCTGGTTCCATATATCTCCGTACAAAAATGCCGGTTGGTGTAAATTCAATTACTCGATTAATTTTTCACCAATCGAAAATCTGAACCGTAACTTCTGTTGGGCTTGTCCAGTTCTATCGATATTACGGTATATTTTCCTAAATAATATCAATACAAAGTTGGAATAGCTGTCGAAAGTGAAGGCATTTATTTGTAGTCTTTAGGTGACTTGCACTTTACGTATTAATAGTTCTAACTCAGTAATCTACTACTTACCATGGTCAGGCAACAACATGTCTTGCTGGTTCTTCATCAGCATAATGCATGATCGTAAAATTGTGCACGGAACCAGGGTGCGATAATACAGTCACCGAGGGAGTGGTTCGCCTATCGAACTTGCTCAATGTGCAGCTATTATTTTATCCAATAATATCGTACCAAAAGTTTAACGACTTGTGATTGGATAATGAAAATATTTTCCCACCGGCGCGAGTTAATTTAAATATGTGCCACACTTTTCATTCACGAATTGATGAGCTCCTTGTCAACCCTTCGGACAAAAAAGCGCGGCTACGCTATATCAGTCAAACTCGATGCACTTGCTATGATGGCAAGTATGTCGGACTACAAGGTGTCCGAAAACCTTGGCATACCCCGGCGCACCATACGTTCTTGGTTTGACCTGCACGATGAAATCACCGCCTACCAAGGGAACAAGAAGCGAATGAAAGTCAGCCCTGGTGGGCGCCGCGAGATGTTCCCTGACCCCGACGGTTTGGTCGACTTTATCGTCGAAATGCGAGTTCGTGAACGAGCATTGACAACAACTCACATTATCAACTGGGTTAAGCGCTACCAGAGTCAGTGGCTTCGGCTCTATCTTGTTGACAAGCAAGCTGGCACTGGCTACCAAAGCCTGCTCCGTCTCCTTCAGCAGTTCTGCCGCCGCCACGGTTACAGTCGTCAACGCGCCGGCTACCGCAAGAAGTCGACGCTGCACTAGCTGAAGTCCGCGACGAGTTTGCAGAGGAGTTCCATCGCTTGTACAGCGCTTTCCACGATGACAGCGTCTACAACGTCGACGAAACTGGATTATATTACGACATGCCTCCCAAGTACATCTAGTCGATCCGCGGAGGCGATGCCAAGGTGTCCTGTGGGGAGAAGCACTCACTCCGTATGAATGTGGCCCTTACCGTGCGTGCCGATGGATCCAAGTTGCCGCTTCTCTTTGTCGTGCGGGGACTTCCAGGTGGCCGCATCGAGACGCACGAGCTTCCGACTTACCCTGCTGGCCACGTATATGCTGTTCAGCAAAAGGCCTGGATGGACAACACTGTGTGGAGACTGTACCTGCGCACCTTCTGCCTTGTGTTGAGGCGCCGTCTGTCATCTTGGTCGAAAACTTCGAGTCTCACGTGCTTTAACCTCGTTCTTTGGTATCCATCGTATTATATCTTAAGTTTTCAAGAATTTATGCCCTGCTTAACCAAATGCAGAAATTCTTTGACCCCTTGCAGTGGAGTGCTCTCGTAACCTGTCAAAACAACAAATTATTATTTGAGCTGCGAATAAAAATACATACCAGTCACTTTCATTGGCTGTAAACTTTGTCGTACTTCGAAGTATGGCGGCCAATCATTCACAAGCATGAGCAGAAAACTTGAAGTACCACACAGGTGAACCACTCCCTCGGTGACTGTACCTCTTTTTGGAAGTAATTGCAACATTCAGAATAATTCAATAATGAGTGTCAAGATTATCGAAATATCGAAAAATAGAGGTATGATTTGATAGAGGAGTTCAAGGTGAATTCGAATAAACTAATTTCGTAAGAGTGAATCAAGAATCCAAGTTTATTATTTTATTCAAGATATCCACGATGTAACGTAGTGCGGCCAAGTTTGACACTTTATCCTTTATACTTTGGATGTAACGATTCTATCTGGAATTGGGTTCCACTGTTATCCGGTTTATCCGTATTATCGTGCATTTTGTCCGGTATTTTCACATTATCTGCACCCATGTGTGATTCTTTTAGATTTGGAGAACAACAGTCATATGCGCAATTCGTACCAAATTGCAATCGTTGAAATACTATTCAACATGTTACAGGTGAATCACTCGCGATATTTCTTACAACCATTTTCGGAATTCAACAATCTCAAATGTTGCAACTACTTCCGGACAGAAGTACTTCCCAGAAGTACCTGGTAGTAAGTACTAGTAGTACTATTATACTTCGTACTTCAAGTACTACAGTACCGGTACGTACTTACTGTTACACGTAATAGTATTACTGTACAGTAGTACGAAATAATGGCAAGGTGCGACAGATTTGTGACAGGTGAGTGACAAACGTCGTGTACTACTATCACGTCGAACAGCTGATGCGCTTGATTGCATGTCGTTGTTGCTTCCCCGCTGCCTAATGCAGTCAGTCGTGTACAGTGAGTGCTACCGGTAGTTAGCACTGCGTCGTGATGGCGTTCCCGTTATATTCTGGTACCGGTCGTTTGCACGTGTGTGTTGTGGAGAACGTCACAAGTAATGACAGTTATGCACTTCGAACTTCGAAGTATGCACCGATGATCCACTGCAGAAACACCAAAACCTTGCCAAGCAAGTACATGACGCTATATATTGAATTCGACGCGCTTCACCTGGAGATGGAAGCACTCAAGTTGTCATACAGGCGTGCCAGACGTTCCATCGTTTGAGATTTGCATTCTCGCGCCATGTCCAGGAAATTCGAAATTCGATTTCGTTTGAAATTCATTGTCACACGTTCTAATCTGATTGAATGAAGGTAATTTTAGCATAAAGTAGGATAAAGCTTGGCAAAACTCGATCTCATTTAGGATAAGATTACCTTAAAACATTCATGGTCCAGGACTTTCGAAATCGTCAGACCACCTGATCGGCATGCGTAGCAGCAGAAATGGTGCAGACTTCGACTCAAACCTCCATCAAACCGACGGTCCAAGGTCAACTTCGCGCATGCTGCGATCGGTACTCCTGTTATCCTTAGCCGTGGGGCTGATCCACGCGCAAGCGTGCGAGGTTCCCAAAGAGAATACGCTCACATCAACGTGCTTTGGGCTGTGTGCGCCACGGCCCACCACTGGCAGCATCGTCGCCAGTTGCCTTGTTCTGGGCGTGAACGACGCCAAAAACGGATGCACGAACCAGAAAGACGGCACATGTACCGAGAACGTCGGAGGCGGGGCGTGCACCATCTCGTGCTTGCAGCCATTGACCAGTGAACTCGATTCGACGTGGGCCATTCGCGTGGGTGTACCCACCCGCCAAGACGCTGACGTCGGGCTTGTGCAAGCCATCAACGATGTCGATATCACACCCTCCACCACGACCATGTAAGTGTGTTACTTGGTCGTCGATGAGTTGTCATGATGACGTTGTATGTTGTTGTGTGCAGTCGCATTGCGCCGCGCGATGATGTCGTCATACCCACGTCCGAGCTCCGATTCGTCCAAACGAGCTTTCGTCAAGCCATCAGTGTCACAACCATGTACTACATGCTTCCGACATGTGGTCACTATCCGTCTCTCGCTCATTCACCCATGCGTTGTTGTAGTGACATTGAACGGTTGCTAGTGACCAATTTCACGTCGTTGACCATCTTGTCCAAGCTCAAGTCCCTGTACGAACATCACTACTATCATGTCCATTCACGACAAAACTCGTAACTCGACGGTGAATGTACAGGAGGCTAAGCAACGTCGGCCTTGCCCAGGCCGTAGACGTCGAGTCGCCGACGATGTCGGAAACGTTGGACACGGTGTACGTTCGTTCGTTCCCCTTAGACACATGGTCACGCTAAGATTTTGCCACATCATGTAGCGATCTCTCGGGCAACAAGCTGCGCGAGCTGCCCCTGTTTCTCTTTCGCAACAAGAATCTGCAGGTGCTCAACGTCTCAGGCAACCCCCTCGTGAACGTGCACTTGATGGCATCCGAGCTCCAGTTCCTCCAGGCACTGCAAACATTTGCCGCGCCCGTCTTGACCCTTACAATGCCGTGCCAAGTCGGGTTTGTGTCGACGAAGTGGCACGCATCCGTGCTGTGCGTCCAAGGTAGTACCCACACAGTCCATATGCCGCCGCCGCCATCCTAACGTTTTCGTGGCATGTATGTAGACGATGCAGGCAAAGAGAGCAGCAACAACACCAGACAGGATAACCCGTTGGGGTATGTGCTGGCCACGACCGCGCCGTCGTCAGCGGAGGACGCCGCCGCCGCCTCGTCCAACAAGACGTTCCTCGTCCTCATCGGCACGGGGACGTGCGTTGTCGTGGGGGTGTTTGTGTACCTGGCCATCTTCATGCGTCGCCCCCGCATGCGCGTCAAGCATCCCGAGTTTCCTCGGGGGTCGCTCACGTCGTCGGCGGGCGGTGGCGGCGTCGACTCGTCCATGCATGTCATGGAAGCCACCGACAAGTCGTACTACGTGGCGCAGACGGTCCATCTACCCGAAGACGACGACGACGACGACTGCATTACCACAGCACCCCACTGGTCGTCGTCCAGGTCCACATGGACGGTGCAGTCGTTCAGGAGCCTCTTCACCGAGATTGCGTTCCCCGACTTGGTCGTGTCGGAGGTCGCCCCCGTCGTCCTCGTGCACGACAGCTTTGACATGGTGAGGGGCAAGTTCAAGGGCAAGCGGCGGGTGCACGTCAACAGGCTCAAGCCCATGGCCCACGACAAATCGTTTGTGTTTTTGTCACTCCTGTCGACACTGCGCCACCCGCGGGTCACGGCGGTCGTCGGCGTGAGTTGGCGCCCGGTCGACCCCTCCACGGGCGGTATCCAGGTGGACGTCGTGTGCGAGTACATGGACGGCGCGCTCCTCCAAACGTACCTTGGCAGCACATGCAAGGACACATGGCGCACCGGCAAGCTGCAGATCATGCTCGATGTGTCGCTTGGCCTCATGCACATCCACGAACATAACTACGTGTACGAACACTTGAGCCCCCGAACACTGCTTGTCGACTCGGCCCGCGGCTGCAAGCTCCACACAGTGGCCATCGCCCTCAAAGCGCCATTTCCGTCGACGTCGAGCACTCTGCTGCATGTCGCGCCCGAGGTGCTCAAGGGCGAACAACCCACGACCGCGTCCGACATGTATGCGTACGGCGTTCTCGCTGCCCATGTCGACAAGATCACGTCGGAGGGAATTGCGTTTTCACCGCAATGTCCCGAGATGGTGGTGCAAGTGGCCAAATCGTGTCTGCAGGTGGACCCGCAGCAGCGCCCCAGTGCTAGCTTTGTGTACGCCATGCTTCGCAGACAAGCCAGCTTCATTGAAGCATAAAAGATAGCATGGGCCATAGGAATAGTGATAGGTTAGATGTATTAAGAGTAGAAGTGATTCGACTGAGCATTATTCGATTACGGTCGTTGGGAAGCGGTCAGATTTTGAATGCAACCGACGGGTGTACAGCAAGTTGTTGGCTGTGGCTATGGCAGCTAGCTTTGTCGTCCACGGTACACTGTACTTCCTTCTTCTACCCCTCACAGTCTTGTCTACCAGGCTTGTCGTCATACCCAACACTGTGCATCTGCAATTGTGGCGCGTCCTGTGGTCAACTTCCACGTAGACGAGTGATTGAACGCTTAATGGCGGCATGGACACCAACCAAACCAAGATGCAGTGACAAAACCATTGGATTGTTGTAGTTACTTGCAGGAGGCGACTCTAGCAAGCGCTGGTCTCCGCCGGTGATGCGATTCACGCCACAATTGAGTTTCCGAAACTACCGGTTAAAATCGCGAGATTTAGATGTCCTTGCGTTGCAGACCAGGAGGGAGCGACTGCGTCAACTTGTCGGCCTTTTCGGTGTCCGTCACGCACAACGTGTACAAGTACTACACACGTCCGCCAGCCATATCAGTCAGCACGTCGTCCCTGTACATCTGCTGCTGCTACTCGTTGACGGATATCAAAGACGTACCTTGGAGCAACGGATCTTGAACTTGACCACCTTGTCGGTCTTCTTGATCTTCACCGAACGGGCATCCTTTCGGCGTGCCTTCTGGAGGAAGTCACGGATATCGGTAATTTGCTTTGGCTACAGACACAACCATCGTCATTCACTGCTTCTCGTTTGTGTAGTTCATGGCCCTGGGTTGTGTCATCCTTCACACACACAGCCCAACTACTGCATCCACTTACCATTGTGGTTACTGAATGTGGCAACTGCAGTAATACAATTGCCGTGCCCTCAAATTTATCACATCCAGCGTCTTCACTGGTTGGCAGCTCGTGATAAGGCCATCATACAAACGTCAAGTGAGATTCCCAACGACCAGTAACTCGACCCATGAAATCTATTGGTCCATCGAACCTCTCACATTTCATTTTCGACGCATCTGGTTTCACAGGTCCATATCCTCACTTACACTATTTGATCATTGACAGCAAATGTCTAAAAATACTGTCGAACAATCGCCACACAGGAAACTGACCAATCACAGCGTGATAATCACAAAACGGAAAGCCGAACAGACGCGTCAAAAACACGATTGCTTCTACATACAAATATCTAGCCAAGTTTTCAATTGCCTACTTTGATCCAGACTACGAAGTGATTCGATAAACCACCTTTCAACCACCAAAGATCCATGCAGCCCGTTCCTCGGCCGGCGGCGCACATTTCAAAAGTCGACCAAAGGATAAGCTCCCTCACCTAGCTTCTTCTTCATCACTAAGAACATCTCGACACCATGCGCGAAGTCATCTCCATCCACTTGGGCCAAGGCGGTATCCAGACCGGCAATGCGTGCTGGGAACTGTACTGTCTCGAACACGGTATTCAACCCGATGGTCAAATGCCCTCGGACAAGACCATCGGCGGCGGCGACGATGCGTTCAACACGTTCTTCAGCGAAACCGGCGCCGGCAAGCACGTGCCTCGCGCCGTGCTCGTCGACTTGGAACCGAGTGTGTGTGACGAAGTCCGCACAGGGACGTACCGTCAATTGTACCATCCGGAACAGATCATCTCGGGCAAGGAAGACGCGGCCAACAACTACGCCCGCGGCCACTACACGATCGGTAAAGAAATCGTCGACCTCGTACTGGACCGCATCCGCAAGTTGGCCGACAACTGCACGGGTCTCCAGGGGTTCTTGGTGTTCAACGCCGTGGGCGGCGGGACCGGCTCGGGCCTCGGCGCGCTCTTGCTCGAGCGGTTGTCGGTCGACTACGGCCGCAAGTCCAAGCTCGGGTTCACCATCTACCCGTCCCCCCAGGTGTCGACGGCTGTCGTGGAGCCGTACAACTCTGTGCTGTCGACGCACTCGTTGCTCGAACACACGGACGTGGCTGTGATGCTGGACAACGAAGCCATCTACGACATTTGCCGTCGGTCTCTGGACATTGAGCGCCCCACGTACACCAACTTGAACCGGTTGATCGCGCAAGTAATCTCGTCGCTGACGGCGTCGCTTCGCTTCGACGGCGCGTTGAACGTGGACGTGACCGAGTTCCAGACCAACTTGGTGCCGTACCCGCGCATTCACTTCATGTTGTCGTCGTACGCGCCGGTGATCTCGGCCGAGAAGGCGTACCACGAGCAGCTGTCGGTGGCGGAGATCACCAACAGCGCGTTCGAGCCGGCGTCCATGATGGCCAAGTGCGACCCCCGCCACGGCAAGTACATGGCGGCATGCCTCATGTACCGTGGCGACGTGGTGCCCAAGGACGTGAACGCGGCCGTGGCGACCATCAAAACGAAGCGCACGATCCAGTTTGTGGACTGGTGCCCCACGGGGTTCAAGTGCGGGATCAACTACCAGCCGCCGACGGTCGTGCCCGGCGGTGACTTGGCCCGTGTCCAGCGTGCCGTGTGCATGATTTCCAACACGAGCGCCATCGCCGAAGTGTTTAGTCGCATCGATCACAAGTTCGACTTGATGTACGCCAAGCGCGCGTTTGTGCACTGGTATGTGGGCGAGGGCATGGAAGAAGGCGAGTTTTCCGAAGCGCGCGAGGATTTGGCTGCGTTGGAGAAGGACTACGAAGAAGTGAGCGCCGAAACCGCCGAGGGCGAAGGCGAAGAGGAGGACGCGGGCGAAGAATACTAAGCCACGACTCAACGTCCATTGTGACGATTGCATTGGTCTTAGCACGATGTCTAATACATTCCTGTTTTTCCGGAGTATGGGGTTCAACATGCGGGACTGACAGTTGAGTTTTGTGAAATTGGAACGACAACCGAAAGGAGCAAAGTAACTGCTGGACAGTTTCATTCATATAAATCCAATAAAAATATGAGCCGTGATATGTGATTTATATAAGGCATTTATGCTCCAATCAAAACCACGGAAATTTTAACAGAAGATACGCCGCCCTTTTTTGGAACGAGGGGGTTTCTTCGCTTGGTTGGCTTGCACACTGCACGAAACGACTATGATATTGATGCTTGTGTGTGGTTGGAATGCCCTTAGTGTCAGCTTTACAGCTAGCATTATTGTGCATTTCACCCAAATTTGGACTTGAGAGCCATTTCGCCAAATACAGTAGCTTTCGAATCAATTTGATCAAGTTTAATCTTGTACGTACTATACTATAGAACGAATAGTATATATTGGTTCAGTGAGGTCAATCGTTTGGATTGGCAGAAATTGGACAGGGCGTGATTTGATTGGCTTAGACGGTTTTCTAATCGATTCTCTTAAGACATTCGATTCTATAACAGCACTGTACTTTACTGTTAATCACTCACACAGAAAAAGCTCCCGTCCATTAGGGTTAACTCATGACGGTCCAAGCAGCGCCAAATGCTGTGGTAAATACTTGATGCGCTCCATACTACGACTTCAGGAGTATTAACGAAGCCACAAAGTAGTACCTTCAACATGCCCAAGGATGCGAGTGGTTTGAAGTAGCATTCCTTTCTACATATTCCCTTAATGAGTACAATAGGAACGGGCTATTTATAGTAAACTGCTTCCTAAAACGAAACGAAGAATAACCGACAGCCCAACAGTCGCGTCAAACCTTCCATTATCACCACATACATAAATCCAGTCCAATTTTCGATTCCATACATTATTCTAGCTTAAGCCTCAAATTTCAGAACAAGCTTTCTACGTTGAAAGATCCAAGATACTAAGTTTTCCAATTGAAGCAACTGTTCATTACTCAAGTTGACCGAAGGATAAGCTCCCTCACCTAGCTTCTTCTTCATCACTAAGAACATCTCAAAGCAACACTATGCGCGAAGTCATCTCTATCCACTTGGGCCAAGGCGGCATTCAAGTCGGCAATGCATGCTGGGAACTGTACTGTCTCGAACACGGCATTCAACCCGATGGTCAAATGCCCTCGGACAAGACCATCGGCGGCGGCGACGATGCGTTCAACACGTTCTTCAGCGAAACCGGCGCCGGCAAGCACGTGCCTCGCGCCGTGCTCGTCGACTTGGAACCGAGTGTGTGTGACGAAGTCCGCACAGGGACGTACCGTCAATTGTACCATCCG